CACACACACACACACACACACACACACACACACACACACACCAAAAAAAAAACGAAAAGAATGAAAAGCGACAAACGATCCAGCAACGTGGCTGCGACATGTGACGCCTCTCCCCCGCCTAACCCTCCCCACGTGAAGCATCTTGTGTTTCCTTACCCACTCCATTCCGTCAATCGGTGATTGATGTCATTATTATCTTACCTTGTCCTCGTAGATCATGCTCATGTTCCTTATCGTTCATCTTCCTTGTTATCTTCATCTGTCAGCGTTGTCATGCTACCAAGCCGACCCCAAGTTTCGCGACAAGTACGCGAATTGCTCCTCTCCTAATCCGGCGCCATCACACTACCAGATCCAAGAGGGATACTTACTTGTCCACACATGGGGGAAGAACCTTCTTTGCGTGCCGAGTGATCCCCACTTGCGTAATAAGGCTTCTTGGCAAGTTCCACGATGCTCCCGCCACTGGACACTTCGAAGTTAATTGAACGATTGGCTGACTTCGAGAACGATTTTGGTGGCCCGGCCTTCTCGGCAACGTCACACGCTATTGCGAGTCATGCGAGGTTTGCCGACGCTGCAAATCCCGCAATCATCGTTCGTACGGCGAGTTGCGACCACTACCGGTCCCCTTGCGCCGAAGGGAAGCGATTGCCATGAACATCACGGGGCCGTTCCCCAAGAACAAGACCGGTGTGGATGGGATTCTTACGGTGGTTGACCGACTCACCAAGTTCGCCATGTTCTTGCCTTGCCACTATCATGCCAAGGCACCGCAGTTGGTCGACGTTCTTTACGCCGGTTGGATTCGAACCAAGGGTTGCCCCAAGGAAATGGTCTCATGTCCGATTTTTGGTTGGCGCTCAGCAATCGATGGGGGTCATCTCTCAAGTCGAGTTCGGCTCGCCACCCCCAAACCGATGGCCAAACAAAGAGGGCGCATCAGATGCCAGGTTCTCCTTCGCACTCTCATTCGTTCCGACCAAAAGGATTGGGTTGAGCGGCTGCCGGATGTCGAGTTGGCATACAACTCGCCCATTCATCCGGTTATCGGGATGTTGCCCTTCAAGTTCGAGCATGGCTCACTGGTCACCTCTCCGTTGGACACAATCATCCCACGAGCAACCTAGAGCGACGACCATCTTCTTTTCTTGCGTCAGATGCAAGAGCTACTTGTCAAGAGCTGCGACCAGATGGCAAAGACGCAGCAACGCATGAGCCAACAGGCCAATCACCAGCGTCTTCCTTGTCCTTTCCGCGCTGACGACCTCGTATGGGTCTCTGCCGCGGAATTTAGCCTCGAACAAGATATCTCTCGCAAGCTTCTCCCAGAGTGGATGGGGCCCTGGCTGATCGTGGCACCCGCTGGGGATGCACCCGAAGGACCTTCATTTGTCATTCAGGTGCCCCCCCACTTGCCCGTCTACCGGGTCTTTCGTTGCTCCAAGTTGGCTCCTTTCACGCTTGCGGAACATGATGACTTCCCCGGGCAACGATCGCAAGACCCACCCTCTATGGATGTTTTTCAAGAGGTTGGCGACATCATCTCCCAGCGACGCTACGGCAACAGGCCGACCGAATACTTAGTACATTTTGCGTACTGCACCCATAAAGTTGACCGTTGGTTAACCCATGCGGAACTGCAAGCAACAACTTTGGATGTTCTCGCACACTACAAATGCAAGTTGCAAGGCAAGCCGGCATTTTCGGCTCCACGCTGCGCTCGCATCCAGGTTCCACCTTCAGATCGTCAGCTTCACCCTTGACCCGGCTTGACTTCATAAGGAGGGGGGGGGGGGCAATTGAGGGACCCAACGGTTGCCGGCAGTTGTCCGTTCAGACGTCGTTTCGGACTGTAGGTCCCAAGGCGACTCCTTGGGTTAGGTACACAAGGACGAGGCCACTTTCAGGCCAGGCGCGTTTTGGCGCCTCGCTGCATCAGCAGCGCGGTGTGGATACCCGGTAGGGGCCCAGACCGAGTAGGCCATTTTCAGGCCAGTACCTGAGAAGCGCCCAGCCGGCCCAGCGCTACTTATAGCTGGGCTGAGGCTGGGCCGAGGACAGTTCGGGTAGCTCACTTCTGGAGCAACACGGTGCTGGCTGAGCGCTGCGCTGTTTTAGCACTGCGCTGTTTTAGCACTGCGCTGTGGAGTTGGAGGCTGAATACCGGAAGGCAGAGGGGCGGAGGCCATATCTGCGTGAAGGGACTTACCTGGTGCCATAGTTGGGGCACCCGCGACCTGCACACGACGGCAACAAGACGGCGGTCAGCTCGGCGGTAGCCCCTGCAGGTGACACAGCGAGGAAGGCGACATCTTCTTCTTCGCCGGTCTCCCTCTTGTCTCCCTCCTTCCTCCTTCTCCCTCCTCCTTCCTCCCTTCTTCTTCTTCTTCTTCTTCTTCATCAGATACAAGAGAGAGAGAGAGAGAGAGAGAGAGAGAGAGAGAGAGAGAGAGAGAGAGAGAGAGAGAGAGAGAGACTACAGGGAGAGGATACAGGCAGGGGTTACTGTGGGCAGAGCGCCCAGGATCTGATCCGACATTTTTGAGGCAGACATTGATTGGACATCGGCAAGGGACTATTTTTGGACTTCGCTATCAGACAACTTATTCACACTTTTCATGCACGTGAACAGCAGCACAACAAACTGGCGACATGCGGCCACACAGTACACAAAGATATGGCTTCCAGGTAAGTTCACTTCCACTGGCTATGGCGACCGAGCGCCCAACATCTCACTGTTCACACACTGGATCACCCTGGATATCCCACACACGACACTCTGCACACGCACGCAACACACACACACACACTACTATAGTTATGGCAGCGCTAGCTGCTACTGCCCTATCGCTATACTACAGTTCTCTGCCCACTTCGGCTTCGGGCACACTGCAGACCTCCTCGCACAAGACGCTGAGGCAGCGCTTCCGCACGGCTTCCGCAGGAATGAATGAATGGCTGTGCGCAGCCTCTTGATTTATACTTCTGTGAGTCGTTGGTCTGCCCTGCTTCCCTGGCCCACGGTGTGCACAGTCCCAGACGGTACTTGCTTGACTGGACCGGACTGGCTGGACTGGGACTGCTGACTCTGCGTGGTGGACTTCCACCACTTGCCCAATTGTCTACACCTATAGTGGGCTGACTTCCGAAAGGCCAGTTCTAGAACTCTCTACATGGCCTTTCGGTACTGTAGCAGCTACGACTCTGCCCTTTCAGGTAAGTAGCAGCTACGACTTTGACCCTTCAGACAGTCTACAGCTATGACATCTGGACTGTCTAGACTCCTACCCAACAGGTCTACAGTTCGAATCCCCCATACCCTGTAACCTACGAGACCCTACCTACCACTGGCGGTCCTACAGGTCGCAGGTTCAAATCTACGGGTTAACACAGGTAAGGTGGGGAACTAGGGATCGAGCCCTGGGATCTGCATCAGCTACTGCGAACTGGTGAATACCGTTTCAGAGAGAGAGATTACAGGGAGAGGATACAGGCAGGGGTTACTGTGGGCAGAGCGGCCAGGATCTGACAGACATTGATTGGACATCGGCAAGGGACTATTTTTGGACTTCGCTATTGCGATCTTGGTCTTCTCCCTCGCCTCCATCTTCGTCTCTCCTCTCCCCCCATCTCTCACCTGTGGTATCTCCCCATGTGCGCGTACAAAGGAGGGACCTTTCTTCTATGTGTGTGGTCCCTCCTCCTCCTCTCACATGTGTGGTGTATGATGGGATGTCGCGTCAGTCCCAGTCAGATCGGGACTTATCTTTGAGTCTTCCGCTGCACTACTATGTGCCATTTTGTATGTATCAGAATGTACATTGCCTGTCGATGTTCCACTGACATTGCATTGTCCATTCAGTCCTTTTCATCACATTGCGGATCCTTGGCTCTGCATGCATTGCCCAACTGGGCATGTATCTCTCTCTCTCTCACACACACACACACACACACACAGAGAGAGAGAGAGAGAGAGAGAGAGAGAGAGAGAGAGAGAGAGAGAGAGAGAGAGAGAGAGCTTGATCAACACAACTGTTATGGTCAAGAAAATAGCAAACCAGAATCAACCCCTGATGAAACAGCCTTTGAAGTCGGATTGCCCATGAAACAAACAAACCAAAAAAACAGAGCACATCATTTCACCACTGGCTCATGCACAGCCACGCCCAAAACACCCTCTCTAATGTCCACTCGTGCGAAAGGAGCAAAAATTACCATGCATAGTCGAGGAGCACCACAATTGATCTGGACTTGTCCGGATGCTTCTTCAGAAATTCTAGAATTGCAGTGGCTGCTGCCTGCCTTACTCTTGCATCTCGACTGTGTAACAAATGGACAAACTCTCGCAAGATGAACTCAGGCTCTGCATCCAATAATGAACAGAGGAGTCAGGTGGAGTAGTTACTGCTTCCAATTGGCTTGCTACTCTCTCTACTATTTCTCTATTTAATCCCTTTGAAGTGACAGACAGGTTTCACATGATGTTATGAGGTCTGCATCCAATAATGAGCAGAGGAGTCAGACAGAGTATTTATTGGTTCTGATTGGCTGGCTATTCTCTCTACTATTTCTCTATGTAGCCCCTTGAAGTGAGAGAGGTTTCTGACAATGTTACAAGTTTTTGGCAGCGACCCGTTGAATTCAAGTCCTGAGTGGTACTGCAGTAACCCTGTTCAGAAGTAGCCTGGGGCCCAGAACTCAGCCCCAGTCAACGCAGACCTGAGTCGGTCTGCACTGGGCTGTGTGACCAAAACGCGCCCAGGCCTGAGTCTGCTGCATTGGCTGTGTAACCAAACGCTGCGCAATGGAAATTCAAGGGTCAAAGTCATCTGTAGAGTCAAATGTACCGCGCCCAGGCCCTTGGTTGGATACACTCACTTGTTGTGCGCAGGTACCCAGACAGCATCCAGGCCGGAGGGAATTCGGTTTCAGACCAATCTGAGCCCTCGTCTGCATTGAGATCTGGATGGCTGAGGGATGCAGCATCCGGGGTCCAGACCCCGCGTCAACGCTACATAAGCGCTGACTTCCTGGCTTTGACATTCATTCATTCTGTCTTGTGTCAATGCTGACTTTACGCGTTGACGACGCGACGCTGGCTCAACGCTGCGACGCTGGTGGACGCTGGCTTTGTGCTGGCATTTGAGAGATTGCGGCGATGTGCTGCTGATCCGGCATGGTGGCTGGCTTGCACCTGTCTTCTTGGCATGCTGACGTGGCAGCTGCCACGCGTTGCTGCTGATGTGGCCGCTGCCACCTGTTATATCTGCTGATGTGGCGGGGCCACGTGACCGACACTGCTGTTCTTATTCATCGTCATTCCGGAGGAGATCGGGACTGTGAAGAAATCGTGGATATGTACCTGGTTGTCTTCATGTCGACGTTGCTCAAGAGCTGATGAGGGACTGATTAGACGTGCCACGTGGCACATTGAGGTTACTTCAGATACTCGTTCGGACTATTGATTATTGAGGTGATGATTGAGGAGGGAGCCCGAAGCAGGAGTGGGCCTTATTTCCTCTCCTTTGTCTAATCTCCCTCCTCTCTCCTTCGTCCGTGTATGATTATCTCGTCTCATTCTGTCTGGACATGATTTTGACTATTGGTAATCATCAGCTGGTTGACATTTATCTGGGCTTGCATTGTCGACGACTGTCTTCACGATCTGGGTTCATTGCAATTTGGTATCGGAGCAGTTCTCCTGATGACGACGATTGTACACGTGTGCACGCGCCAGGTGGCGCGCAGGTAAGTGTGGTGCACACGTGTGTTGAGTAGGTGATGACGTGACAAGAGATACACCGGAGGTACTGACGTGGTACAGACTTCACTGGCGAGAAGACACCACCGGGGTTATTCCACTGGCAAGAGGAGATCCCAACGAGGCTGCTGACGTGGCAGTAGGGACCGCGACCAAGAGATACCGCACGCCAGCCTCGATCGCGATAGTGACGTGGCATTGCGATCCCCTACTGACGTGGCATATGTTGTGTCGCGTCTGAAGACCTTGTTGATTGATTGCTGATGTGGCACTTTATGCTGCTGACGCACGACAGGGTCTACTGCAGATGCTGACGTGGCCTTGGGGAAACACAGGATTGATTGCTGACGTGGCAGGAAGCAAGTCATCACACCTGTCTTCGTGAGGTGGTGACTACCTGCTGACGTGGCATCGGTCTTCTTGGCTGACGTGGCATTGTCTTACTGGCTGGAACGGCGACGGTATCGCAACATGAGGTGTGGAAGTGACAAGTGGCAAGGATCAGAGTACACATTTGCTGACGTGGCATCCCACTATTGGTTGACTGGACACAGAGTGCTGACGTGGCAGTGTATGCTATGTTGGCACTCCAGGGATGACACATGGCAGGCAGGATTACTGCCAAGTAAGAGAAGCATTATGAAGACGACGGCGGTACAGCTGACTAAATCGACTATACAGCTGTAGTGCCAGCTGTCCGGGAGAGTGCATCATCGCACTGACACCAGGAAGACACAGCGGATTGAAGAAGGTTGCTGAAAAACTGTTTGTCGCTGTTGTTGGCATACTTACCCTGTTGTTGCTGTGTTGTGGTGCTTGCGTACTTACTTGTGTGTTGTATCTGATCACACGGGCCTGACGTGGTACCTGTACACTCATAGGACGTCATCACACAGACAAAAGAATAGCAATTAGTATAAGTAGAGATCTGTTTCTTCTTCTTATTTTTTTTTATTTCTCTGTTCCATTATTGCAAATATTGTCTCAAACCTGATTTACAAGATGTTTAGTGTGTGGAAATTACTCTTGCTTGTTTTTCCGATGACATTCTTAGCGGGTGAAGGATCTTCCGATCCCAAGACTAGGAGACAGGCGGAAACAAAGAAACAAGAGTTACTGGCTCTATGGAACCAGCTGTTGAATGATTTGCATATGTCCGGAACAGACGCCGAACGACACGTTCGTAATCTGTTTGATTTGCAGACGGTAGAGAACCGTCTGAAGCAAGCAATTACGGCCGCGAAAGTTGTGGCTGCCGAAGCAGAAGTGTCTAAAATGATGGCCCAGTGTCGGAAGGCGCTGGACCAGTTTGCTATCAAGCAGCTGGAAGAAGTCATGGAGTTATCTAGGAAAGGGGAAATCAGACCAGAAAACCGAGGCTACGATTGACGCAAACATCCAACAATTAAGAGAGGCGCTGGCTGCAGAAGAAACGAAGAAAGAAGAACTAGCCTGGAAACATGAACAAGAATTGAGGCGGGAACAGAAAGTGAACGAAATCAGACAAGTGATAGGAACAGAAGGGAAGGAACATACTGACATGACACAGACATTGTATCACATCATGACTTACCTCACCTTCTTGGAAGAAAAAATTGACAGACAGCAAAGTCAGTTAGACGAGATTGTTGTAGGGTTGCGAACTGTCACAAACATTGTGAAAGGAAAGCATCCGGTAGAAGGAATAGAAGAAGAGGTTAAGGAAGAAAAGAAAGAAGTCAAAAAGTTGATGAGTGATGCGATGAAGTCTGCTGATCCTCACGATCAGAAGACGTCTAATGGAGGAGGGAAGCCGTCTAATGGAGGAGGACCGAGTCCGCTGTCTTCTCCACTGAACACTCCTCCTTCCCTCTCCATATGATGGTCTTAGTAAAGAAAGCAGGTGAGTCTTCTACTTCTTATCCTCCTTCAATTGAAAAACTCTTAGATGAGGATAAAGAATTATTCACTGAACCAACATGAATAATTGAGCTGCAATTAAGCACACCATTGAAATTATTCCTGGTAGTAACATTCCCAAGGGCCGTATCTACCGAATGTCTGTTAGGGAACTTGAGGAATTAAGGAAACAACTGCAAGACTTAACAGAAAAAGGATGGATTCGCCCTAGCTCCTCTCCTTACGGTGCTCCTGTCTTGTTTGTCCTAAGAAGGAACGTGAGTTACGCCTCTGTATAGACTACAGAGGGTTGAATGTTGTCACTGTTAAGAATGTTGAACCACTTCCTCGCATTGACGACTTACTTGACCAGTTACAGGGATGCAGGTATTTTAGCAAGATCGACTTGAAATTTGGGTATCACCAGATCGAGGTGGAACCCTCCGATCAGCAAAAGACCGCTTTCCGGACCAGGTATGGCCACTATGAGTTCGTGGTAATGCCCTTCGGATTAACGAATGCCCCTGCCACTTTTCAAAGGTCAATGAATGACTTGTTTCGTCAATGGTTGGATAAGTTTGTCATTGTCTATCTCGATGATATTCTGGTGTATAGTAAAACACTAGAGGATCATGAGAGGCACCTTCGTCGGGTGCTAGGGGAGTTGCGTGAAGGCAACTTTAAGATCAACTCAAAGAAGTCTGAGTTTGCTAAATCCGAAGTGTTATACCTAGGACACATAGTAAACGAAGAGATGGCCTTAAGATTAGAGATTGGCCACAACCTAAGTCTATTACTGAACTGCGATCTTTCCTTGGTCTAGCTAGTTATTATAGGAAGTTCGTCAGAAACTTCTCACTGATTGCTGCACCAATGCGAAAATTGTTAAAGTCTTCCTTTCGAAAACTGAAGTATGCACTGACTCACTACCCTGTCCTTAAGATTGTTGACCCGTCTTTGCCTGTCATTGTCACCACTGACGCAAGTCAGTATGGGATTGGCGTTGTTCTCCAGCAAGATGACGGTAAGGGCTATACACCCATAGAATTTATGTCTAAACGACCGTCGTGTGACAAAGTCGCCAACTCCACGTATGAAAGAGAACTCTATGCCTTAATCTGTGCGTTGGACACATGGAGGCACTACCTGTTAGGGAGGCACTTTACCGTGTATTCAGACCACTCAACCCTAAAGTGGATAAGAACACAGTCCAGACTCTCTGACAAGTTGGTAAGATGGTCTGCATTCATTGACACCTTTGACTTCGAACTCAAGACTATCAAAGGTAAGTCTAATGTGGTTGCACATGCTTTGTCCCGACGCAGTGATTTCTTTGGTGCAATTATCTCTTACTTGGATGTTGGGAATGACCTGAAAGACCAGATTCGCCAAGGATATGCTACTGATCCTATCTGGAAACCAATCATGGATATCCTTGTACGAGATCCGTCCCAACTACCCAACTGCTTCTTCATCTTCAGGACCAGTTGCTGCAGCTTCAGGGCAGCAGACGGTTCAGTCAAGGACTCAGCCCACCGGACAGACTGGACCCCAGCAACCTTGGTACCCGAAGACCACAATGAAACCCTCGACTGTCTTCACAGGAGACAAGAAGGACGAGGCCCTCAACACTTGGTTGAGGACGGTTCCACTGTGGGTAAGGGCCAAGTGCAATGACTTGCTGTTTTCTGGTCGCCTGTAGCCTCTCTCTGTCGAGGCTGTGC